AGAGCTCCAGATGCCGATTAGAGGACCTGCAAAACAGAGTAGAAACTCTGATGCTAAAGTCAGTAAGCGTTCAAGTCAACTCAAGAGAGAGAATTGGTTTGATCGCGTACCTTGAAATGGAGCGAAATAGTCCTATTTATAGGCAACGTCCCTGACAAGGTTCCTGACAAGGCCTCAACGGCTTTTTAAGGTTGTCGTGAGGTGCGGCGTGATGTCGTAGAGTCTGTCGGAGAATAGGCTGAGCCGAAGTGGTCCAAGTAACATATTTGGTCGGCTTTGCCATGATATATGGTCGGCTCGACATGAGGATTCATGACCGAGATAAACACACTCGCACGGGGCGACACGTGAACTGCTGGACAACCAACCATAACATGCCACGTGTAGGTTAAGAATTCACCTCCAACATTGGCCCGCATTATGCTGAGGCGCCTTATCGATTCAGCTCAGTGTTATCGTTGGAGAAGATGATCTGCAAGTCATCTGAGCAAATCAAATGGAATATGAAGGGTCGAGCTGACGTGTGATGACATCATACACAGTGATCTTTTGGCAAGATCGAATCTGGGCCTTCGATTTTAAAATGGATGGACGGCTGAGATAAGACTCCAATTTTCTAGGGTGATTTATTTCTTCATTTGTCCTCACTTGAGTCTTCTGAATTCTATCAAATTCTCTCTGACTCCAGAATTGCCTCGGCTCGATCAACTTTCTAGGTCAGTTTTCTTGTTCAATTGTCATGAGCGAGTCGTCTTTGGAATCGGGTAGAATAATTTTCAGGGCTTGTAGTGGCAAGTCGAGGGTAGCTTAGGGCCTGAAATAGAACTGTCGCCTAGGGCTGAGCCGAACCATAACATGGAAGAGAATGTAGGTGCTTCTACATCGGGTCGAGCCGAGTAGTGTCTCGAACTTCCTCCCTCTATTTGCTTTGAGGCCGACCTGTCCAAACTTAGGGAAGCTTATAGGATCCCTGATAATATACAAATGAGATTACCTCGAATCAGCGAGAGTTTAGCTCACCCTTCTCTTGGGTGGGTCGGCTTCTATCCACAAATGTTTGACCGGGAAGGTAGGTTGCCCCTACACCCTTTTGTACAAAAATTCCTTTCAGCTACCAACTTGGCCTCAACTCAGCTAGCACTGAACTGGTGTGCCAGTCTGTTCGGCTTGTGGTTAACCTGGTGGAGCTTTAGTGCTGGAGATGAGAGCTTACTTCTAAATGTAGGGCAATTCTTTGCTACCGACCTCATCAAACCTTACAACGAGCATCCGGGTCGGTATTACATATCGGCTCGGAATAGCTTATGCAAGATTGTGGATTCTTCTTCAACCAATAAGCATTGAAGCGATAAATGGTTCCTAGTCTTCGGTGAATGGCTCGTCATGAGGAACGGATAGCCATTTTGCCAAGTACATAGTGAGTTTGAAGAGTTAGCTACGTACACGTCGAGTCAGTTAGTATAGAGAGCTCGGCTCATGCATAATTCATTTTTGCCTTGCATTCTACACTGCCTTGACTTAACATTTTGTTTGTGCAGTTGTACCTCGACCTGCACCTCGGATCAAGGAGCACTCTGAGGAGATCAGGAGCTGAATCGTCTGCGACAAAATCTGGTACTAACGTCTCCTCGACGACGTCAACCTTCATCAATGCGGACTGTCTCACGTTAAACCCAATCGAGCTCGTCGCCTCGAAATCATGGTGTCCAAACTATACAACTCTATGAACCGAAAGCGCTCTATCGATCAACCTGCAGCCGGTGATGCTCCTCAGAAACGCGGGAGGTCAGACGGGGCTGTCAAAATATCTGAGGGGTCTTCCCGTGCTGTCCGAGCTGACCCACTACAGATCATTCTATCTGTCCAGTCATCCAGGCGAAAAAGCCAATCTGCTGACTCGAAGGGGAAGCGATCCTTCGAGGCTTCATCTCGTTCTCCCCCAAAACCAATCAACATTCACCTTGAAGATGAGATCAGGACTCAGTCCCTGCCGGTGATGCACTTTTCACACCCCTTCAAGGGTAGTTTTGCTAGGGAGAGTGTGCGTGAGGCTACCCTGGCTACTTACAAAGCTAGCTCGACTCGGATGTTGTAGTCGAGCCAGACCTTTTTCCTGGAAAAGCCAAGCGACTATGTGCAATGTCTGATCGATGACCTTGCTCGGCTTCACTTCACAGACTGCCATACTGGGGACATCGTCAGCCAGGAGCTGACCACTAGGAAGACCAGCTTCACTCACCAGCGCGAAGCTGCCAAGCAGACTGAGGTGCTCAAAGCTGAGATTGTGAAAATTTGTAAGGATATGGATGAGCTGAACAAGACCATCACCTCTAAGGAAAACCTATTGAGTCAAGCTCAGGTTGACATCCGAACTATGGAGGCTCGGGCTAAGGCGGCTGAAGAGCGCGTTTACACAGAGGTGGCCAAACGTGCCTTTGAAAAGGCTAACTTCGAGGCGAAGTTAAAGAACTTCGATTTTCTTAAATTAGCAATGAGGAAACTTCCTGGCTTCAACGATCTGGTTCGTGACTTGGCTGACAAGGGCTTCTACATCGCGGTAGCCGAAGTGAAGAAGTTGGCTCATGAGTTGGACTTGGTCCCTACCTACGCAGCCTTCGAGGTGGCTATGGAGGAGGATGATGAAGGAAATGCCCAGGTTAACAACCTTACTGACGAGGGTACTGGGCCGAACTTAGATGTCTGACCTGAGGAACTTCAAGCCGCTTCGGCTCGGTCTTGTAATGAACCTCATCTTTTCAATTAATGAAGCATTTTATAATTTGAATCTCAACTGTAATGTCTGTTCATCGTTTGTGCTGACCTGTTAAGTAATTAGTGCGTGTAAGGAATCCTTAATAAGTCATGAGGTGGGCGTGATCCGAGCTGAGCAGTGAATCACTTACTTCTAGCTATGATATCGTGTCTCGACCCCATTTAAGTTTAGCTTGACAAATCGAGGTAGACTTAGATTTAACAAATGTGTTTATAATAATGCGTACAACCTAGTCCACCTTAGATTGTTTTACATTTAATGATAATAAACACGTAAATGGTCAGCATTCCAAGGATGAGGTAGCTTGTTGCCATTCAGGTCGGCGATGATATTTCTTCCGGGCCGAACTATCTCACAGACTTTGTACGGGCCCTCCCAATTCGGCTCGAGTACTCCAACGTGAGTACCTTGAAATGGAGCGGAATGGTCCTATTTATAGGCAACGTCCCCGACAATGGTCCCGACAAGGCCTCAACGACTCTTTAAGGTTGCCGTGAGGTGCGGCGTGATGTCGCGAGGTCTGTCGAAGAATAAGCTAAGCCAAAGTGGTCCAAGTAACATATTTTGTTGGCTCGACCATGATATATGGTCAACTTGGCATGAGGATTCATGACCGAGGTAAACACACTCGCACGGGCGACACGTGTACTGTTGGACAGCCAACCATAACATGCTACGTGTAAGTTGAGAATTCATCTCCAACAATGTGTTTGGTAGCAAATTTAAAAATTGAATTTCAATTTAAAAAATTGTTCAATATATGTTTAGTTATATTTCTGTAAACTAGTGGTACTTTACCGACTAGATATTTAGTTAAATCTAAAATAATGTTAATTAACTTACTAAACATGTTTGTTATAAATCTTGATTCTCATTTTACAATATTATATAATTTATAATATACTATATTTTACCTTTTTTAATTTTTTAAAAAATAAAATAAGTTTGTAACATGAAATATTATATTTAATAATAGTTTTTATCCTTCCTTAATATAATCATTCTACATCTTTTTTAACACTAAGAACATAAAAACGGTTGTTTTCCTAATTTTCACGATTTGGATTATACAATCCTAAATAATTTTAAAAAACAAATCTGTCAAATTTATATTGACTGAATTTATTAAATGGACTGAATTTGAAAATAAGAAATAAAAACTAGATTGTCAATCAAACTCAAAATTTTCTCTGTTTCTGTTTAGCAAAATAAATGATGCTGCCCAACAATTATGGTTCATAGGTACATTAGATATAAAAATCAAGTGAACGACAAATTAGTCATGCTGTCCAAAAACCTTTTTAATGGACATGGACATGGACAATAAGTAATCCTTTGTGATAACAAAATAGAAATTACATAAAAGACTTTTTTGTAATTCTAATATTAAATTAGCAATTTTAATTCATTACACTATAAAATTTTTACCTTTTTTTTTCCCTAAGTTAAACCTTTTTGGTTTACTCTATTTTTTTATTATTATTAGTTAAATTCTTAAACTAAAAAAAAAGGTAAGAAAAAGAAAATCAAAATTTACCACTATCCAATTTTATCTTAAACTTTCAATGAACTTAGATAAACAGCAATCTTGACTTTTAAACTTGAAAAAAGTATTACAATGTTTTTCTTATATTTGAATAAAAATTTTGCAATTTTTTTGGGGTTGGTTTAATAAATTATAGAACATATGTCTCATGTCATTCTGAATATATATATTTGCACTCAAATGGTTAAAACATAAAGTGACCTTGAAGTATCAAATTTTATGAATTTATCTAACTTTACTTTGTTCAAATCTTGATTTTCTATTTCGTATTTGCCATTTAATTTCATCAAATTTGTCTGTCACTTTCTTCCATCAATTTATTAATGGCATAAATCGAATAAATTGAGATTTGAATTATTATTTGCTAAAGGGAAATGATTGTACTCACTTATACGGTTCTTTCTCTTTCAAATAAATGTGAGACGTATATTTGCTCTCCTAATAAAATTGACTTCCCATATTTGTCGTCTAATAATGATTTGATGCAAGTTCAAAATCTATCCTCCTGGTTAATCGATTGACACATGTTTAAAATACTTCAAACATATATAAAATCATCAGCCCCACTGTGTTCCTGCCAATAATTTCTCTTCCCTCAAATTGAAAAGTAATGTAGCTTGTGGTTATGCCATAAAATGCCATTTATTTCCAATTCTCTGTATAACTGATAGAGAGTTTGGAGTTTGGAGAGAAAAAAAATGAGAGAAAAATGGAGAGTTTACCCCACAGAGCTGAAGAAGGTGAGCCTCATGGCAGCCCCCATAATCACTGCGTTAGTTCTTCAGTATCTGCTGCAGGTCGTCACCCTCGTCGTCGTCGGCCATCTCGGCGATGAGCTCTTGCTTTCGGGAGTCTCCATTGCCTCTTCCTTCGTCTGCGTCGCTGGCTATAGCATCCTTGTAATCCTTCCTCCTTCCAACTCTCTCCGATCTGTTTTCATAGAAAATTGTTTCTTAACCTGATCGTTTGATAACTATTTTATTTTTTAAAATTAAATTGACAGACGTGTCAATAACAGGGAATAATAGGCTAAAAAGATTGTGAGGAAACATAATTTGAATTTTGGGAACAGAAATTTGAATGTCAGCATGTTTTTAAACTTGTGGGATTTGTTTGCTTGTTTTTACTCCAGCAGAATACCATATTTTGAATTTCTCGGCCTTTTTTTTTGCTTGTTTTCTTGTGTTTAACTCTAGGGCCTGGGAATGATTTTGGCTTTTTTGTCATTTCCATTTCCTTTCCATTCATATGTTTGACAAATTAGAAAATTAAATTTAGAAAAACTTAAAATCATTTTAAATTGATTTTTAAGTATCATTTGGATGATCATGATTTTGGAAAATCAATTACACTCGAATCTCTTTTTTCAAAATCAATGATTCTATTGCCACTCCCAAACACACCTTTAGATTTTATCTAATTGTTTTCCCTCTTCTTCCTTTCTTCTCCCTTATTCTATTCTCATTTTGGCTTTTAGTTACATGCCTCCGGATAAATAAATTTGATTCCTTATTTCTTGTTATGGTTATTGTTTTCATAAACATAAATAAAATTATTATTTTATAATTTTTATAATAGGAATCAATTGATTACTAAACATATTTAAAAGAATGAAACAAAAAAAGAAAAATTAAAACCTTTATCGGATATAATTTTGACTTTCAAGAAACAAGAAGTTTGCTAAATAGTCTAATTCTTCCTCTTGCTTTCAAGCAGATAGGGATGACTGGAGCTTTGGAAACTCTATGTGGGCAAGCATATGGGGCAGAGCAATATCAGAAGCTTAGTGTTTATACTCACAGTTGCATAATTTCTCTCATTTTGGTCTGTTTCCCAATCTCTGTGCTGTTGTTCTTCACAGACAAGTTACTAATTTCCATTGGCCAAGACCCTTCCATTTCTTCTGTGGCCAAAAAATTCTCAGTTTTTCTAATTCCAAGTCTGTTTGGGTATTCAATTCTTCAGTCTCTTCTGCGCTATCTCCTCACTCAGAGCCTCATTCTTCCTATGCTCTTTAGCTCCTTTGCCACCCTCTGTTTGCACATTCCCATTTGTTGGCTTCTTGTGTTCCATTTCAAGCTTAGGGTTGTGGGAGCTGCTTTGTCTCTTGATATATCCTATTGGCTCAATGCCATCTGCCTTGCCTTTTATGTCTTCTTCTCTCCCTCTTGCAACAAGACTCGCACCCCGCTCTCGAGAGAGGCTGTCTCGAGCATCCGCGAGTTCTTTCGCCTTGCCGTCCCCTCTGCAGCGATGGTTTGGTAAGACGGTTTGGTTTGGTTCGATTCGATTCGATTTGATTTTGTTGGATCTGGGGTTTGGAGTTTTGGTCATGTTTTTGGGTTGTGGGGTTTTGCAGCCTTGAGTGGTGGTCATATGAGGTCATTCTCTTGCTTTCTGGGCTTCTACCAAATCCTAAGGTGGAGGCTTCTGTGGTATCTATATGGTACAGATTTGTGGTTTTTATAATTAAATCAGCTTTTGAACTTCAATTTTTCAAGCAATCATTCTAGTCTTAACTTCTTTTTGGTGGTTTTTGGGCAGTTTCTCCATCACTTATTTGCATTTTTTCATCCCATGTGGCTTGGGGGACACAGTCAGGTGAGTTCTAATCATAATTGTTTTCTTGCAGGGTCAAAGAGACTTTTTTTTTTTTGTTATTTGTTTTAGAATAATTGAGCATGGATTCAAATCTACACTTCTTAGAGGCAATATGATAAGGACTAAATCTTGTTTTCACTGTTGCAAAATTAACATACAACTTATTATTTTTTTAAAAAAGAGTTTATATTTTTGCATTTATCTCTCTTAATTRTCAATGGTTTAATGGTGGCGAGGACAAAACTGATTTTCATGGTAAAGAATGATAAATTGTGCTACTCATGTTGACCATTTTTTTTTCTTTACAAAAAAAAAAGAAAGAAAGAAAAGAAAAATGCATAAAATACCCTTGTGATCTCTAAATTTTTTAATTTAATCAGTTTTCATTTGGTATATAGATTTTAAAATCAAACACTTTTGTCCCTAAGATTTCAAGGATGCTGTCTTTCGGTCCATGAGATAACAAAATTTTTCTTGGTCGCTCTCTCTCGAGCACCAACCTCTCCACACATTAATTTAAAAATTCACTTCAATTTGATCTGAAAAGAATTTTCACATCTTAAAATTCTGAAAATCTAATCAAGAGAGGGGTGGGGCATTCAACAGTTATGGTGGCTAAGGTAGGCGTGAGGGGTGTGTTGGGAATGTGGAGCTAAAACATGGGAGAAGAAAAGAATGAAAATAGACGAAAGGAATGCTGCAGAAGCTTTGTTGGCCAAGAGCACAACGTTGAGACATTGTGGAGAGCGTCTCAACGCTGTCCCAAAATCAAAGAAAAAGCGGAGACACGTGGCTGTTTAATATGACACTGTTTGCTCGTAGCGGTGAGATGTCACGAACAATGTCCCAACGCTACGACAGATTCTTTAAAAACTACCTTTTGTATTTAGGTTTTATTTGCCTGGCACGAAATTAGAGGGTGTAGCGGCAGGGTGTTGGCAGCAGTGTGGAGATCGAGATCTCGAATAATAGTGCGTCGTCGGCAAGCTGTTCTCGAGTCTATTGGTGAGGTTTTTCATTCTTCCTAACTACGTATTGTTGTAGTGACTGGAAGCTAGGTGTCTATTGTTGTCGCATCTAGAGAGTGATTGTAGAGAGCTGTGAGACCCGTTGTATTATTCCTAACCGTAGTGGAACCGCACATCGCAGAAGACTGGACATAGTTTGTGATTGGAGTGAACTAGTATAAATCTCTTTATCGTTTCTATTTTTCTATTTCTTTTATTGCATTGATACAAGTGTGACCTGCTCATATGGAAGGGGAAAAATTCTAGTTAAACTCTTTTGGGTAGCTCGTGTTACAAGACTGGGTATATTTCACATTAGACATTTTTTCCCCAACAACTGGTATTAGAGCATTACGTTCATAGTCATGGGGTCAGTTGAAAAGTCCAGTTTCAAAGGAATTATGAGGATCGAAGGAGGAAACTTTGAGTTTTGGAAGGTGCAGTTGAAAGACTACTTGACCTACAAGAAGATACACAAAATCTTGAAGGAACGACCAACATAGGTGACAAATAAAGAATGGGTAGAAATGAATGAACGTGTAGTGGCAACTATCAGATTATGTTCATCGATGAATGTGTGAGTCTCGTGGCGAATGAGACAGTGGCGATAGGTCTGATGGAGGCACTAGAGAATAGATATGAAAAACTCTCTGCCAACAACAAAGTATATCTTGATAGGAGATATTTCAACATTTGCATGGATAAGAAGACGTCAGTCAACTCCCTTATTAATGATGTGACTAACTTGATCAATTAGTTAGTATCGGTAAAGATCACCTTTACTAATGAGGTGAATGTTATTCTTCTGCTAACGTCTTTGCTTGATAGCTGGGAAACGATGAAGAAGATTGTGTCTAATTTATTAGGGGACAAGAGCTTGAAATTTGTTGAGATTTATTTTAGTTGTAAAAAATCTCTTCTCATCCATCACAAAATAATCTGTACATGAGAAGTGTATTTAAATAATACAAGAATAACAAAATAACTCCCAATTAACAAACTTGCTAAATAAACAATATAAACCTCTAATACTCCCCCTCAAGATGGACAGTAAATATTAACAAGGCCCATCTTGGACATAAGAGATCGAAAAATTACAGAAGAAAGAGGTTTTGTAAAACCATCAGCAAGTTATGCAGCAGACCGAACCGGAAGCAAACGCAGGAAGCCACCTTGGACTCGATCACGAACAAAATGACAGTCCAACTCAATGTATTTTGTCCGTTCATGAAATACGGGATTGGTTGCAAGATGTATTGCTGCCTGATTGTCACAAAAAACTAAGACAGGTAATGAGCAATCAACTTGAAGATCAGTAAGTAGATGAGATAACCATAACAATTCACAAGAAACAGCGGCTAAAGCTCTGTATTCGGCCTCAGTAGAGGACCTCGAGATGGTAGTCTGCTTCTTCGATTTCCAAGAGACTAAAGATGTGCCCATGAAGACACAAAAACCAGTGGTAGAGCGACGAGTATCGGGGCAAGAACCCCAGTCGGCATCAGCAAAAGCTCTCAGTTTAAAGGAAGAAGAAGCACATAAAAACACACCTTGTCCCGGTGAGCCTTTTAAATACCGTAGCAAATAGAAAGCAGCAACCAAATAAGATTTGCATGGTTTAGGAAAAAACTGACTGAGTTTATGGACCGCATTAAGTGATATCAGGACGAGATATTGTGAGATACAATAACTTGCCAATGAGCCGGCGATAGACAGTAGGATCATGAAGAAGATCCAAATCAGACAGCTGAAGAGTGGTAGAAGGGTCCATAGGAACAGCAGTTGGCTTGCATCCAAGGAGACCAAATTCTTCTAACAGAGTCAAAGTGTAATGTCGTTGAGATAATGAAATCCCTTTAGAACTTCTAGCAACCTCAAGACCAAGAAAATATTTCAAAGATCCAAGGTTTTTAAGGCGAAAGCGGTCATGAAGCAAAAGCTGTAAAGACCAAATAATAGAAATATCAATACCTGTAATAACAATGTCATCGACATAAACCAGAAGAGCCACAAAAGAAACTCCAGTACCACGAGTAAATAAGGAGTAATCAGACTTTCATTGCTGAAAACCGAGACTTATGAAAGCCATGGAGAACTTAGCAAACCATTGGCGAGAGGCTTGCTTCAAACCATAGATGGATTTGTTCAAGCGACACACCAAATGCTCCCCCTTAGGACAAACAATATGATTGGGAGGATGATAGCCAAGCGGTAGATCCATATAAACTTCTTCAGCAAGATCGCCATGTAAGAATGCGTTATTAACGTCCAATTGTATCAACGGCCAAGAATTGGAAACAGCAAGGGTAAGGAGCACCTTGACAGTAACCATTTTAGCAACAGGAGAGAACGTTTCGATAAAATCAGGACCTTCCTGTTAAGTATACCCCTTGGCTACTAAACAAACTTTATACCGCTCAATGGAACCATCTGAACGATGTTTAATCTTATAAATCCAACGACATCCAACTGAATGACGATGTTCAGGCAAAGATACAACAGTCCAAGTATTATTATCATTCATAGCTTGGAATTCAACATCCATGGCATCACACCAATAAGCAAATCCAACAACTTGATGATAAAATTGAGGCTCGTATGATGAAGAAACATTCAAAATGTAGGTAGAATAAGCAGATGAAAGCTTGGAGTAAGAAACATACTGCTCCAATGGATGCTTAGTATATGTAATAGGTGAAGGTTGTTGAGCCGAGAGACTGCAATGAAAGTCACGCAAATAAGAAGGTGGTTTGGTGGTTCTAGTAGAACGTCGAGGGACCAAAGTTGACAGATCAACAGAGGACTGTAAAGGAATAGAAATAACCTCATTATTTTGAACCAAAGTGGAACCGACCTGTGGTGGTTCAACCATAGTGGAATGATCTCCTAAAACCGAAGAATGATGTTCAAAGTCTGCACCAAGAGGATGCTGAGTGACAACAGAAGACTGTGGATGAACAATTGGCATTTCAGTATGAAAATACACAACATTAGGAAGAACCAAATCAGGAAAAGGGTCCAACTCAATATCACAATCTGGAGTGGCAAAAAAGGAAACTTGGTTTCATGAAACACCACATCTCGTGATATAAAAAATCTTTTCTCCTGAAAATCATATAACTTGTATCCCTTTATGCTAGGGGATAGCCTAGAAAAACAACAGGTCGAGCTAGGGGTTCAAATTTGGTTCGATGAGCACTCAAAGTGGATGCATAGAATAAAGAACCAAATACGCAAAGTAGAAAATAATCTAGATAAGACTGAAACAAAACGTGGAAAGGAGACTGCCACGCAAGGACAGGAGAAGGAGTCCTATTGATAAGATAAGCTGCAGTAAGGACATATTCCCCCTAAAATTTGATAGGAATCCGAGATTGAAAATACAAAGTCCGAGCAACATTCAGGAGATGCTGGTGCTTGCGCTCAACAACCGAATTCTGTTGAGGTCTCTCTACACAGGAAAACTGATGCACTACTCCCTTAGAAAGAAAATATTCTTTGAATGATAATTCAGGGGCATTGTCTGATCTAAAAGCCTTAATACAAGTACCAAACTAAGTTTCAACATAGGAGAAAAATCGAGGAATAATAGTGAGAGCATCAGACTTGTGACGCAACATAAACAACCCCGTATAACGACTACAATCATCAACAATTGTCAAAAAGAAACGATACCCAGAATATGTAGCATGAGCAAGAGGCCCCTAAATGTCAACATGTATAAGGTCAAAAGGGTGATTAGACACATGATTACTTGAATTGAATGATAAACGTTTTTGTTTGGCCAATGGACAAAGATTACAAGAATCAACAGCAGAATTCTTTAGAGGACAATCATCAATGCGTAAAACATCCTTAAGAACATGCAATCTACTAGGAGATGGATGACCAAATCGATTATGTCATACATCAAAAGAACTATGTAGTGATGCAGATACACAAACAGAATGTGTAGTAGGCAAGCAACCCGATGGGCATTCAAGAATGTAGAGG